AAAGGCTGTAAAAAGATTGATATAATTCTGCGAATTCTAGATCCATCAACCACTGTCCCCAGTGGTTGTCACTCCAGACCCCATTCCTTTCATTAATATTTTGGTCCCTTCTGTGATCCTTGACCAGTGTCAGGGGTCCAGCAAGTAAAGGATAATGGGTAGGTGGAGCTTGGACAAATACGGGTTGGATAAAGGATGAACATGAAAAGGTGAAGACTTTACCAAAATACTGTGAAGAAGTGGGCCAAATTAATGAACTCCCTGTAGCCCTTTCTGTGCTAGGTTTATGCTGAAGAACAGTGTGCTTTTACTATGTATCTGAATTTGAAACCCATAATATTTGTCAAGTTGTTTAACATGGCAGTGTAAAAGCTTACTATAGAATGGTTGGGCTGAAAGGGACCTCAAAGATAATCTAGTTCCAACCCCCCATAGATGAGCAGGGACACCTCCCACAAGACCACATTACTCAAAATGCCATTCAGCCTGGCATTGAATCCTTTCAGGGATGAGGCATCCACAACCACACAGCTTGGTGTCATCAGCAAACTTGCTGAGAGTGCACTCAATTCCCCTGTCTGTGTTGCTGATAAAGATGTTAAACAGCTCCAGTCCCAGTATTGATTCTTGAGGAAAGCCACTCATCACTGGTCTCCATGATAATAAATAATTAAAAATGCTGCATGATGATCTATGTGCATTGGAATGTATTATTTTCAAATGTAGCATCATATTTAGTGCTTAATTTTTCAAAATTCTTAGTCTGACTCAGTGAGCTAGTGATTAATCACATAGAAAGGTCACTCCCTCCAGCTCCTCCTGTGATTGCTTCTTAAAAGTTGACATGTTAATGGTGGTCCATACTCCAAGCTCTTCATCAAGCATTAAAAAATGCTTTGGCTAGTCCTCCGTTTCGTATGAAATCACAAGTCAGAACACTTAGTATGGGGGAAGAGTACGTCTTGACTCTGTAACCCACTAAGGGCATGTTCGTGTTAAAGTGGTTAATCCAGAAAAATGACCACTAATAGGGTACGTAAGGGTGTCTTATTTACAGGTGGGTTTAAGGATGAGTGCTACCTCATATGCACTGCAACAGAAAGCAGTGTGGAATGAGAAAAGATAGAAATGCTAGCAGTTAAAGCTATCGGTAGTGAAGCAGTCGTTCCTCTGCTGCTTTTTTTCCTCCTGTGAATATAGTAGCAGGCAGTGGGAATGTCAGAGCACACACTAACTTCTCATTGCATGGTTATTTATTCAGCTAATGAAGCCTTTTGAGAATACTTTTCAAACTACTTTTCCAGAATGGAAACCAGTATTGCAGACTTAGTATTATGTTGGCTATATATGAATGTTATTTTTGTGAAAAAACAAAACACTGGAGCCTTCCATAGCATACTGTGAAATTCTTGGTTTGACCAGAGTTCTGAATACTGTGCACCTGCGAAAGGTTATCTTCTTGTTTGAGAGGGAACAATATGTAACTATTAGTAGAATTTCTTAACAGGTTAGAAAATGTTGCAGCAGCCCAAATGTGAACTATTTAGTTTTTAACGAGGGATTTTGGGTTCTGGATTTGTTTTTCTGTCTGTCACTAATGCTCTCTACAAAGCTGGGCAGGTCTATAAGAAAAAGACAATAGACTATTTAATTGGTTAACAATCAGTGCCTATCTGCCAGAGAGGGGAATATGAGGATGAGGGAATGAAGAGTGATAGGACAAAACCTAAAAATACTTGTCTAATGTGGATACTGTCTGAAGGACCATCTAGCTTAACACCACTAACAGGAGCCAGTAGCAAATGTCTAGGGAAATATATAAAACAAAGATACACATAATGATTGTTCCCAGAATAGTCTTCCAACAACTGAGCCAAAATGGTTTTGTATTGGTTTTAATAGCACAATCATAGAATCCTAGGGGTTGGAAGGGACCTTGAAAGATCATCTAGTCCAACTCCCCTGCCAAAGCAGGGTCACCTAGAGCACATCACACAGGAACATGTCCAGGTGGGTTTTGAATGTCTCCAGTGAAGGAGACTCCACAACCTCTCTGGGCAGCCTGTTCCAGTGCTCTGTCACTCTCACAGTAAAAAAAAAATTTCAGATATTCACCTTGAACCTCCTATGCTCCAATTTGCACCCATTACCCCTTGTCCTATCAGTGGTCATCACTGAGAAAAGCCTAACTCCGTCCCCCTGACACTCCCCCCTTACATATTTGTAAACATTGATGAGGTCACCCCTCAGGCTCCTTTTCTCCAAGCTAAAGAGACCCAGCTCCCTCAGCCTTTCCTCATAAGGGAGACGTTCCACTCCCTTAATCATCTTTGTAGCTCTGCGCTGGACTCTTTCAAGCAGTTCCCTGTCCTTCTTGAACTGAGGGGCCCAGAACTGGACACAATACTCCAGATGTGGCCTCACCAATGCAGAATAGAGGGGGAGCAGCACCTCTCCTGACCGACTAACCACACCCTTTCTAATGCATCCCAGGATGCCATTGGCCTTCCTAGCCACAAAGGCACATTGCTGACTCAATAGACTAAAAAAAACATAAATAGAATTGGAAAGAGATTGCTTCTGGAGTCAATGCAAACTTCTAGTCTTGTACTACTTCCTGCAGTAAGTGCAGTAAGAAGTACTCGGGGTATAATGTTGATGAACAATCTACCTCCTTTTGTTTTTGAAATGAAAGCCTGCTGGGTTTGTAGGAGACCCACTACATTTTGCCTTGGAATAATTATTCTCTGTTTCTTCCTTACTACTGTCTCTGTGTTGTCTTTCCACAGTGGAGAGTTGTGATTATTCTTAACTTCAGATTATGTTAAGGTGATCAGAAGGTAGAATTTCTGTTTTCCCTTGCTCCAGCAGATTATCTTCTGTAAGTTATTTTGGCTTGAGTTGTTTTTGCTTCGGAATAGATTTGTTGTTGAAAGTTTGTAGAAGTCTGTGGAAAGAACCTTCCTTTCTCATCGGTGCAGGAAGGATACTTGTAGTAATAAAGAAACTTGTCTGGTTTTGTGGCTGAAGATTTCTTGAGTTTTAGTGAAGGAAAAATATTTATTGAAGGAATTGGGTATTTTTTTAGCTCTGTGAGCCTCTGAAAACATTCTGTCATCCTTCTTTCTGGAAGCCTTCCATATATTAGACTGCTGCCTAGAGCGTAAGTATATTGTTCAAAGAAATTTAAAATTGATGTTTCTGTCCTGTTGACATAACCCAGTTCCAGTTGTGGAAATAATGATACTCTGTTTCACTCAATCATCTGTAACCCCAGAAAAATAATTCTCTAACTATTTATTGTGAAGGCTACATAAGACTAGTGCAACTCAGTAGTGTACTTGGAGTTAAATGTATTTTCTGGATTTTCTAAATATATAGGTTCATGGAATTGTATACCTTGTACACTTAATGGCATATGTTTAAAATACAGTGTGACCTGATTACAGTTGCAATGGAAATAATAATAGTAATAGAAGCCTTAATGTGGTGGTGCTTGGGTTCCGGGTGCTTTTTTGTTAATTTCCTATTTTTCTTTTGTTAGTTTCTGGCTTTACTATTTATGAGAATGTATGTGCGACAGCGTGGTCATGGCAATGCTGGGGACTGCTTGTAGAAGTCGATACTGCACTTTCTTTAGCAAGTGTTTGGTCCTTTGTGACTTGTCTACATGGGAAAGCTTGTGCGCTGTCAGTTAGGCTGTAAATTCATAGTGCGTTACCTGTTCTATAGAAAACTCCATGTAGACATTTATTTAGCAAATATAGAAAACATTTCCATTTAGCAAGGGGTCCTGCATATTGAACGTGCTGCACTCAGTTATTCTTTGTGTGGTGACATCATTCTCACAGAGGTCAGTACTTGTAGTAAGTAGACCAAGAGCTCGAGCTCATAGTTTTGCCTGGTTTAATTAATTCAGGGGAGAGGAAAATGCTAGTTGGTTTTTTATCTTGTTTTTGTTGGGCTTTTTTAGTCCATTATTTAAAACAAGCAGTGGAAAAACTCCTAATGTTGTCTGCACATGCAGGTCTCCAGATGAGCTCAAACCCACACCACACTTCAGTACCTGTTTATGAAGTAAGTCAGGGCAGCAGGTGGTTTCTTAGTAGGCAGATATATAAATTATACAACTTGCTGTCATTCCTAGGAGTAAACAGGGAGTTCTCGCAGAGATTATAATGTTTTTTTAGAGATTCATGGTGAATGTCACATAAACTGTGCTCTTCTCACCTGTATTGGTAACACATTAGATAATTTGCTGATATGTACAGGATGAAAACTTAACACACTAAGGGGCAATCTGTCCAGAGGGAGCTGTTGTGTTAAGGTGGAATAAGGCAGGATAGTCTGTTGTTATCTGGCCTATCTCAAATCCATGGAGAAATAGAGGACTCTGTTGTCCAGCTTGGGAAGTCTGGCACCTTTTAATGAGCTGTAAACTCACTTTAATATTAAAGCTGGGATATTTTTATGTTTGAGTGTGTCTTGTGTATTCTTGGGGTGAGAGAATCTTGCAGCAGCACCGAGCTGTTCTGAGACCCAGAGGACAGAGCTGCTCAGCTTTACTCCACGATTCTGTTGCCTTTAAGAGCACACAGTACACTCTTATAACCATAAGACTGTTCATATCTGTGCATGTAAACACATAAATGAGCTGTTTTATACCGGCAATTAGATACTCCAGAGAGTTGTGAAGCTGTGAGATATTGCTTCACTTAGGGTGGTTGCAACTACTTGGCCCACAGCCTACGGCTTTGTTGCCTGCAATAGGTGTTAGCAAATGGCAATGCTAATGTGCTTAATGATATCATTACTAATAGGCAGCCTGGTCAGAACAATTGACCTTCATTGATCTTGGTATTTCTGCTTTTATTTCTTCCTTGGCTCTTTATGACAAGCTGTGCAAGCTATTTGCCTTTGAAAGAATGTAAGCAGTTACACTGTAACACTTCTAGTTTGACTGATTAATGGATGGTATTATAAATGTTATTTTTTTCCAGTGTGCCATGCCGAATTGAATGCCATCATGAACAAAAACTCTGCTGATGTGAAAGGCTGCAGCATGTATGTTGCTTTATTTCCATGTAATGAATGTGCAAAGCTCATCATCCAGGCAGGTAAGGAGTAGTGCCAGCTTGATTTGTCAGAGCTGCAGTGCTTCTTGCTCGTTGGTATCTTACCATCGATGTATTTGATGTCAAAATGCTGCTGTTAGATCTAAATTAATTGCACCGTCAACTTCATAAGACACTACTTGTGAGGGTTTTTTTGCATCTGAATGGTGCCAAATTTTTCCAGTGCTAATTGCATCTTCTGTGATTCTAAGTGTGCTCCTAATTTAGGTTTGTAACTTCTTAGACCAGGAGCTGCCAAAGAACAACACAGGCGTTGCATATAATTAATGTCAGTTTTACTGTGCTCTGACACATTGAATGGAGTAGGGCAGAAAGAAATAAACTTCTGCATGACAAAAGGTCTGTTGGGAGTGTATATATGAAATTTTAATTTGAATGTGATGCATGGTAGATATTTGAAGATTTTAAAGTATCTTTGCTTATAAATGTCATAAGACTTCTATGAGCCAACTTTAATTATGTCTTTCATTACAATTGTTATAAATCTGTGCTACTGCAGCAAGTGTGCTGGCCTAAATGTGTTGCCTTTTTCAGATTAGGCATTTCTGCAGTAGGCTTCAGTTGTGTTAGGGCCTCTGCTTAAGGTAGCATGTCATTTGCTCAGTGAGTGAAGCTTTGCGGTCCTGGCATGGATTGCTGTTCTGGGGAGTTTCTCTCACCACTGATGGCTGTGGATGGTAATGTAGGAAGAAAACAGTGAGCAAAATACTTCTTTATTTTGGTCAGTAAGGTTTGAAGAGAGGGGAATGGAGAATGGTGGTGGTATTCTGTACTTTTCTACATTTCTCTTATTTACAGAATCAAAATCAAACGGTTTTCAAGGTAGATTGGCTTCTTGTTCTCCATGTAGTCACCCATCCATATGCACTTAGGTCAGCATTAAATTGCAATGTATTGCTATTTATGTTGTCTGGTAAATACAGTAGGATATTGAGAGGGTGTGAAACGCTGGTGAATTCTCTTGGGTCAGCCTTTACACTTCTCTCCTGCTTAATGAATTTAGACATAAATTCAGCAATTTGAGACAGTGTGCCTTTATGAGATTTGAACCTGAGACTGGGAGTTACAAAACAGAAAACATGGGAGAAGCATCCTTTTATAGCTCTGCATTTGGAAGGGGAATAGGGTTTGGGGTTTAAATTCTTTATGGGGAATTATCTATATTAGAGAGACAGAAAGGTAGGTTTTAAATTACTTCAGCAAAAGTGCTTCATTTCATTTCATTTTCATTTTCATTAGTCTGCCTATCTGTTGTTTTGCCTGCAAGTCTTTGTTCTGGTTTTCTGAATTGCATTTAGGTGAAAGAGGAGAAAAACATTTTCCAATGTTTTTGAAAGAACTCTACCTTACATACCCTTATTCTCAAGCACAATATATTGTATTTTGGGAAGCAGGGGTGTACCAAGGAGTTTTAGAGTATGTGAATGAATGCTGCCTTTTCTGATTTTATGCGCTAGTTTTTATATGGCATTCCTTTTTCTTTTGCTCAGTGTAATTGTAACATTTTTGCTATATTACTTTTTTAGGCATAAAGGAAGTTATTTTTATGTCTGACAAGTATCATGACACTATGGAAATGAAAGCTGCACGCCGTATGTTTGATTTAGCAGGTATTACATATAGGTAAGAGAACTTTGCATAAAATTTATTTTTATTTTGGAAAGGAAAAAACTGTGAAATGTGAAAGACCAACACTGGGACAAAAGTTCTTCTTCTTCTTTGCATCATGCAGCATTTATTCTTTGGTGGTGCTTGTAGATCACTTGCTCTGTATGCCTGCAAAAGATACTGGGTTGACAGACTGTTGCACCATTCTTTTTGTCTTGTGTGTGATTAAATTTAAATTTCAGAATATTTGAATGAGAAAATGGTCTGTTTGGAATACTCCATTTGGAATTACTGGACTCCAAGTGGAAGTAGGACTGTGAAGATTATTTTTTACATTTTACTTGGAAGAGTCATCTCTGACCCTGCTCCGAGCAGAAAGTTAGGCTAGATGATCTCCTGAAGTCCCTTACAACCTGAATTGGTTGGACTGAAATGTCCAGTTGAGGTGGTTTTTTTTGTGGATTACCTGATCCTTATTGGAACTTTAGTATCTCTTTGTTGCAGTCAATTTAGGAAAGTGTCAAGCCAGACACCCATAATTGATTCTGGGTACCTATAGTTGTCCAGTGTTCTTTGGTCAGCTTTTCTTGTGAGAAAAGGACAAAACTTTGAATATTTGCCTTAAAGTAATGAGAATCTGAAAATTGATTGAAGAGAGGGGTTTTTAAAGACACTGACAGAGATGCCTAAAGACAATCTGTTCAACAGCTAGTTTGATAGCAATAACATGCTGTGGGTAAGGCTAATTATGCAGTCAGGAAGGCTTTGCAACTCGAAAAAAGTTTTACAATATTAATATAAAGGCTTAAAAAAATTTGCAAACATAACAATTCTGACAGATAAAATTTTTAGGATGAAAGGTACCTACTGGGCTGAGAAACATGTGAAAAAACAGCAGTACTTGAAATTCAGTTTTAGTCCTTCAGTGTATTTCCTATTTACCAAGATTATTTGACTGAGAAGCATAAATCATTCTCTTGTAAGTCAATTCTCATAGGTTCTCCAGGGTGATAAAAATTTCTTGCATTACACATTGCTCTCCTGGACAAAGTATTCTAAGTTTTTGTGGTCAACAGCATGTGCTTTTCTGTGTGGACTGTTATGCATTCTTGCATTGATTATTAAGGATGTTGGTAGTACTTAATGAATCTCTTGAACTGAACTGCAGAGCCCAATTAGGCACTAAATCCACACTATTTGCATAATTCTTTGTTTACTGGTAGACTGGAAAATACATGCTCAGTCCCCAAATACCTTCCATGCTAATTGCTGTAGCAGATGCTCTAATGATCATAAAAGGAAACATTTTGTGGCAGTATTAGTTTCACAGTTTTAAAGCTACAATTTTTAAATTATTCCCTTTTAACTAGTATGGTTTTTCCTCAGTATGATGCATAATGTGATTTACTATCCTAGCACAAAAAATATTTTAATATACTGAGGCAAAGTTTGAAAGTGTTCTTTGAAAACTTGTCAGGAAAAAGTGATTGAAGTATTTATCAAAATATGTTTCAAAAATCTTTTATATATACATACAGATAAGTGTATATATAAAACACATACAGTATATTTGGTTTTTTTTATGGATACATATGTGTGTATCTATATTTGTAAATATATACTAAAACATTTGAAATTTATATTTCAACAAAAATTCCCTGGTAACTCGATGCCACCACCTGCAGCTAAGTTGTTAAACATCCTTTGACTCCTGGGTAATTTATGAACTCCAATAGCCAAAGAATGTACGGGCTAACCCAACTCATGTGTCTTTTTTGTCTTAGTCTTTCTTGTCCAGGTTGCTCTCAGTGTGGTGCACTATAATTGGCTCCCACAGAGATGAAAACTCTGTGAATCTAAGGAGGTTTTCTTTTTTTTTTTTTTACTCCTTCAGAAATCTAGCTGAAGCTAAAGCAAGCAAAATGTTTTAACTACTCCCTAACTAATCTGTATTTTTCTTTATTTTAGGGAATTCAAGCCAAAGTGTAACAAGATCATCATCGACTTTGATTCAATTAACAACAGACCAAGTCAAAAGCTTCTGTGAATTAAGTCTCATTAAGTCTCTAGAAGAGTGTGATTATCTTTTTCTAAAAAGCTGCTAATGCCTTTCATCTTGACATTACTTGCAACTTTTTAATGGCTTCTGTAGCTGAAGTAGACTTCTAAGAAATCCAAGGCATAAAATGTCCCACTCACTTCATCTTGTCATGTGGAATCTAAATCTACTTAAAAATTGTAATGCCTTTATTAAAACTGCTTACAAAGTCTAGAGACATGTAAATGAGACAATATAATGTATGTAAAGAAAACTGTTCTGATTCTTGCTGTATTCATCACCACATGCTCTGATAGGCTGTCAGCATTGAATTAGGCTCAGTTTAATGGTAGTACTTATTGTAACCAGTGGTACAGTGAAATATGCCTAATATATGTTGATCTCTCTCTTGGAAATGTGAATCTAATTAGGTGATCCTAATAGAGGACAAAAACGTTATCCATGCAAATACTAATCTTCCAACTAGCATAACACTAATATTTTAAAAGGTTATACAGCTGAAAGAACATGTGATATTCTGCAGCATTAACCAACAAATGAAATACTGATTTTTCTTTTAATTACTATCTAGCAGTGCCATACAGGGGGAGGGGTGAGAGAGGAAGTTGTTCTGAGAGTTATCTGTGCTGAACTGAGCTTTACAGGTGACTTCAAGTCTTTGTTTTCCCCAAGACAACAGAACTGGAAGGAGTTAAGGGAGTAATTAGTTTGGCTTTTTCCTATTTGGCTTTGTGACTTTTACTTGAAGTTGGTTTTCATGTGTAGGAGGAAATTATTTGGTTAGTCTGAGCTGTTACTAGACAATCCAACATAGTTCAGTCTTGAAACCAACCTGTTGGGTAACTGAATCATTTTTTTGTCCTATGAGAGAAATTGGAGTTAGTAACCTACCTATATCCATATCTATGCCAAAAGAGGTAATTATGGTGTTAGCTTGTTTCCCAGTGCTGGCATAGTACCTTCATTTTCATAAATGTTTCCTATAATGATATCCTTTTTAATTTCATCTTGAGATCTGGGAATAGATTTTAGTTCCTTTTCTCTAATTTGATTTTTTAAAATTAAATACGCCTAATGGCTTTGTTTAGATAACACTGCTGTTTTGTTTTGTTTGTTGTTTGGTTTGGTTTTTTTCTTTAAATGTGGTTATACTTCAGTGAGCTTTTATTTTCCCTATAAAAGCCTTGTTTCATATTTTGGGACATTATGTAATTTGGCTCCATACCAGTATTATTAAAGTGTTATTAAAATCCCCTACATTGAAGTAGACTCATTATTATAATATTAAGCCATGTGCCTGGCTCCAGAGCTCTGCTGTTTTTGCAATCATATTCAAAACATATTTTGTGCATTTGTGGTATTACATAAAGCGTAATGTTCAGGAACCATTTGGCTACTAAAGAAAGCATTGTAATATATTGTAAGATGTGACCATTTATAGAGTAATTTCTGACTTTCTCTTTTTTTCCTTCCATCTGTTTTCCACCTCAAAATTGGTGTGTGGCTTACTGTCAGAAGAAGTTTGCACATATGTGGAGGGGGAGGGTGAAATCTGAAAAATCACTTTAATAAAATGTCACTAAAACAGCTTATGCACATCTTTATTTTTGGCCTGAATTAATATCGGTCTGATAATGGGACAGAGGGGAGAGAGGAGAAACAGGATTTTTGGTTTTGGCAGCAAAATGGCTGTTTTCTTCACAGATAACTGCGGATCTAAGTTCAGGCTTAAAAGATGTATGCATTGGGATTCTAGTTGCTTTAAGTATTTTGATGTCAGATAGATAATGGGAATGTATAATGTGCATGAAAACTCAGGAGGTTTTTTGTACCAATGTGCAGGTGTTTTTAGGAATGTACAATTTTTTTATAATTACTTCTTTTCCCCCCAGGACTTTCCTGTTTGTGTAGCAGAAGACCAGTACTGGAGAATATGACAGGATTTTATATCTCTTCTGATGATTTTTTGATCTAATAGAGCCTCATACACAAGCTCTCAGAGATATTGTCAGTTGACTCAAGACTAAGTTCTCTGATTTCCAGGGCAGCTTTATGGAACATGAGAAAGCTCATGCACAGCTGTTGTGACAGCACATTATCAGTTTAATGTTTTAGAGCAAGCCTTGAAGAAGGTTTGACCCTTGTGTGCATGCCTCACTGTCTCATACTGGGGAGCCCATGATGGCACTACTCCAGATGTGGCCTTATACAAGCTGAACAGAGAAGCACAAACAATCACTTCTGTTGACCTGTGGCTGAACACGTTCTAGTGGAGCCTGGTATGTGGATAGCCTTCTCTGTTGCAAAGGCACTTCACCTTCTTGTCCACCTAGGTCCTTTTTTGCCAAGGTGCCTTACATCCAGTGGGCACCCAGCCTGCATAGAGTTGTTCTGTTTCTGATGCAGGACTTCATCATGTTTCCATCAACCCATTCCTCCAGCTGTTAGTGATCAGGCATTCGTACAGCTGGACTTCAACCACTGACCACTACTCTTCAATCCTCATGGCTCATCAGTGTGAAACTTCAAAGGTCTCATCATGGCCACCAACACTGCTTCCATGGTAAACACACCTCCAGCCTACCAGGGGAAGGAGAGGTGACTGCAAGACTGAGACTTCATTAGTGATTGCTTCAAAAACCCTATACGGGAAACTGAAAGGAGAATCTGAGGAGCACTTTGGTAGTTCCTTCAGCATTAACTGGGAGGAAAAAAATCACAGTCAAAATGCTGAGGTCCTATCCAGTTCAATATACCTCTGTCTTAAAGGTTAAGTTTAAATCCTGCCATCTTCTATGTTTTCCTTCTAAATACTATTCCATTCTCCTATCAGAGCCATTCCTAAAGGAACGAGCCATCTGACTTTAAAACATTTCATTTAAGAAAGGGTGGTTTCACAGGCTGGCATAGCGAATGAGCGTAATCGCCATCTTTGAAGCTTTGACTACTGACAGAGCTTTCCATTACTTTGTATATTAGGAATGTTTTCACAAAGATAACAGAATGCTGTAACCAGTGCAGTTGTTCTGATTTCCAAAATAACCTGTGGTGGCATTGGCAATAAAAGCTCTTCTGTGCATCACTCAAACTGAACACTCTATGTAAGTAACTGCAGAAGCTACAGTAGTGCAGCAGCTACCAAAATAATCTTGCAGGGATTTGAAGTTATTGAGGACAAGCAAAAAGCCCAACAAAATCCAACTTGCCAGTCTTGGCCTTTCTCTCTGAAGCTGGGTGATGGGAATCTATGCACACGAGGTGGGACAAAGGGCAGAGACCTCACCTGATTGCCCTGAAGGAGCAATTACGGGGACTAAGTCTCCCCTGGCAGCCTGGGAGAAATTTCCAAGGCACTGCTGGGGCTGTGGACAGCAGGTGGGCTGCAGGGGGCCTGGGAGCTGCTGTCAAGCAGTGTGACATTCATAAAGGAGGAGCCAGCAGTACTCTAGTAATCCAACAAGATTAGCTTGGGTTTCTGCTACACTGGGAGCACTTAAGGATGAAGAGCAGAAGTGACCACAGCTGAAAGGCCATTTATTTGCAGCTGTTTCTTCTCAGTTGTAGGTAAGAAAAGGATTTATATAATACAAGGCTGAAAGTGTGAGGTACCAACCTCACCTCTGTGGTGATTGCTCCACTAAAGTCTCTTTTAGCAGATTTCTCTCTCCCTTCCCTTTAACATCCAGGCTTATCTAATGTAATACTCTGATTTGAGAACAAGGGTAAAACTTGTTTCAAGTGCATAGTCTGTCTGGTTCATGTTCTCAACCTTGGTAACTTACTGAAAGGCAGACAGTGGAAAAGCATTAAGCAGAGCTGACTGTCTTAAACCTTATCTGAAACCTTTAAATCCACTTTCCCTTCCTTTTACACTTAAGTTGCCTGTCCACTTTCTCTGGTTTGAAGAAAATGAGGGGAAAAAAAAAATAAACATTTGTGAACTATGTCTCCCTCATTCAAAAAAAATCTTCCCAGCATTTACAGCTCAGTTAAACAGCAGCAAAAGCTTTAATGAAGCATGTGGTTAATCAAGCTACGAATGCAGCATTTGATTTTATTTTGCTGGAGTAGAAGCTTAATTGCAGCAGCTCACTTACTAATGCTGCTCATCTTCAGGAGCAGCAGATTTATATTGTCTGAATACTTCAAAGACTGTTGATGTGGCTGAGGAGGTCTCACAGGAGGAAGGTGCCTTGGGCAGCTTCATGCCTGTGAGGCACCACCAGATAATTGTGTTGGGAGGACTGCTGCCCCTTGCTCTGAATAACCAACAGAAGGGCACCATCTTCCTGGGTGGGGCAGCAGAGATATTTGTGTCAGGGTACATGAATTGCAGTTCTTTGTTCTGTGTATCAACCTGGTTTTGCGGTTTGTTTGTTTTTTGGTGGGTTTTTTTGGTGGTTATTTTTTTTTTCATTTTTTTTAGGAGGAATTAAGGAGCAGGGGAATAGGAAGCAGATACTTCTCTCTTGTATGCTTTAAGGTTTGTCCTGGACAATCTGGCCTCTGTCAGGGCATTCCCTCTAATCCAAATGCAAGACAAAAAAACCCAACAACAAACAATAAGCTCGATGCGCTGGATTTGTAGTTGTTGACATTACTTACTGTGCTCTTAAAAAACGATGCTGTAAGGAGAATGAGAATAATGTGCCTCAGCAGCAAAATATGCATAATAAAGAAGCAATTGCCTATGCTTTCCTGGGATTTAGTACTCCATGCTCTTTACCTCCCTATTCCTTCATTGTTTCAAGCTAATGTGTATTTCAGTTCTGCTGTGCAAATATTCAAAAGGGCTCCCTGCACCAAAGGAGAGGAAACAAAATATTCATATCACTGCTTCAGTGGCATAAGTTGTGTCTTGGTTTGCTGGAGACTTGGGTATGCTCTTTAGTTAGCTGTATAACTCTGCTGTTGCTGTTGACTTGTGCTGAAGTCTTTTATTTGGCATATCTTGTTGTGAGTGGGGATTTTTTTTTCTCCACCTTTCAATCAACTCTGCTTATCAGAATGTGGCTGGGTGAACAGGACTGATTAAAATTAAAATTTTAATTTTGTGTTGTAAGCGATATGGCACTTTATTATTTGTGCTGTTAGTAAAGATACTAATAGTAATGCATCTAGTGTTTTGTGGTACTGTTTTCGTATTTATTTCTTGAAGTGTTGAAAAGTTTTGCTGGAGAGCTTCACTTTCGGATACCAGGATTTTGTATTCCTTTTTTAAGGGTGACTATACTTAATTGTATTG